GTTAATTACCCTGAAACCCCTCCTGGTACTCCAGTTAATTACCCTGAACCCCTCCTGGTACTCCAGTTAATTATCGTGCTCACTGAATGATGTGGCTTCTGTTCCTTAACTTTCCCACTGAATTGCAAATGCGGTTAATATTACGAATGGCAATCTGGGCAATGTGACAGATTTGCTGGATACCCACTTTTCAGATGAGGCTGCCTGGAAAATGGTAATACGCCTGGTATTCCAGCAACCTCACTGTAGTCTGGGATTTGCATGGGAATAACGTTCAGGATAACAATCCTCACCATGAAATAAGATAACAATTTCTATCGACCAACACACACATATACACATGGAAACCAGGAGCTGACTACCCAGTTTGCCTTCCTGTTCACAAGTTCTGCTTCATTGGTGTCTTCACTATAAGACGTATGAGCATTAAACCCGTTGAGTCTGCTGCACCATTCAGTGAGATCATGGCTGATCCGATAACCCTCAACTCCTCTCCCCATAAGAGATAGTAAGAACTGCCAATGTTGGAGTCAGAGATAACACAGTGTGGAACTGGAGGAACACAGCAGGCCAGGCAGCATCAGAGGAGCAGGAAAGCTGACGTTTCGGGTCGGGACCCTTCTTCTGAAATGCAACATGTACTCCTATTGTTTAAGAATGGAATGAGAGAAAGCAGGAATTTAGTGAACCCTTACCTAATGTCTATTCCAGGGAAATTGAACGGACCTCTAATTAAAAGCAGAGTGATTTAGCACTTAGGAGAAATCTGTGCTATGATAATGTGAATTTTTAATGGGTAGGTCACAGCTAATGAATGTAATTGAATTATTTGAGGAAGTGGCTACTGTAATAGAGAATAAAGCACAGTAATAATCTTTGGATGAAGTTTAAATGGGCTTCCATAAGACATTTAGTTAGATTTCAAATGTGTGCCTGCTGGCTAAAATTAAACCTCATAAAATTGAAGTGAAATAAAAGGGCCCTTATTGGTCAGTGCATTCAGTACAAGACATTGGTTAGACCACTTTTGGAATATTGCATTCATTTCTAGTTTCCTTGCTACAGGAAGGATGTTTTGAAACTTGAAAGGGTTCAGAAAAGATCTACGGGGATGTTGCCAGGGCTTGAGCTACAGGGTGACGCTGAATAGGCTGGGGCGATTTTCTCTGGAGCATCGGAGGATAACTGGTGACTTTATAGAGGTTTATAAGATCATGAGGGGCATGGATAGGGTGAATAATCAAGCTCTTTTCCCTAGGGTAGGGGAGTCCAAAACCATAGGGTGTAAATTCAAGGTGAGAGGGGAAAGATTTAAAAGGAGCAACGTTTTCACAAAGAGGGTGGTGCGTGTATGGAATGAACTGCCAAAGGAAGTGGTGAACTGATACAATTACATTTAAAAGACATCTGGATGGGTACATGAATAGGAAGAGTTTAGAGGGATATGGGCCAGTGTTGACAAATGGGACTGGATTATTTTAGGATATCTGGTTGACATGGACAAGTTGGACCAAAGGGTCTGTTTCTGAGCTGTACATCTTAATGATTCTATGGCTGTTGTGGTGCAGTGGCAATGCCCCTATCTCTGGCCCAGGAGGACTGGGTTTAAGTCCCACCTGCTTCAGAGATGTGTAATGACATTCCTGAGCAGGTTGATCTGGAAGGCAAATTATTGACCTGGTCTAGGCCAGAAAGTCCCAGTTGAAGGCCTGCATGGAAATGTATTGATTTTGAAAACAAAATTCGTTGGGATTGATCAGATGATAGAACATTGGGAGATTGTATATGGCTGTAAATTCTCCTAGATGTTTACAGTATAGAATGAGACCATTCAGCCCATCATGTCTGTGCCAGTCAATGAAGATTTGACTGCACTAATCCCATTTTCCAGCTCTTAGCCCATCACCTTAGAGGTGCTGGCAATGCAAGGAATCTCTAAATTCTGATAAAATGTCAGAAGAGTTTCTGACTCGACCACCCTTTCAGCAGTAAATTTCAGATTCCTGCCACCCTCTCAGTGACAAACAATTTCCTCTTAACCCTCTGCCTCTTCCCTTAATTCTAAGTCGCCTGGTTATTGACCCCTCTACTAATGGAAGAAAGTGTCATCCCATCTGTCCTATCTCTGCCCCTCATAATATCTCTCAGGTTCCCTCTCAGCCCTTACTGTTCCAAGGAAAACAAGCCCAGCCTTTCCAATCATTCCTCATATCTCAAACCCTCCAGTAGAGGCAGCATCCTTGTGAATCTTCTCTGCACCCTCTCTAGTGCAATCACTTCCTTCCCATAACGTGATGACCAGAACCACATGTAGTACTCAGCTGTGGCCTAACCAGCATTTTATACAGTTCCAGCATAACCTCCTTGCTCTTTTATTCAGTGTCGGCTAATAAAAGAACATAGCCCATATCATGGGATCCCCACAGTGTGGGAGCAGGCCATTCGGTGCATCAAGTCCACACTGACCCTCCAAATAGGATCCCTCCCAAACTAACCCTGTACCCTGTAACCCTGCATTTCCTATGGCTAATCCACCTAATCTACATCCCTGGACACTATGGGCAATTTAGCATGGCCAATCCACCTCACTTGCACATTTTAGGACTGTGGGAGGAAATCAGAGCACCCAGAGGCAAACCCGTACAGACACAGGGAGAATGTGCAAACTCCACACAGTCATCCAAGGATGGAATCAAACTCAGTTCCTTGGTGCTATGAGGCAGCAGCGTTAATCAGTGAGCCACCGTGCTGCTCTGCTTTCTTAACCACTATATCTACCTGCCCTGCTGCCTTCAGGGATTTGTGGAATTGCCAATTAAAGTCCCTCTGATCTTCAGTACTTCCCAGGATCCTAGAATTCACAATGCAATCCCTTGTCTCGCTAGCTGTTCCCAATGCATTAATTCACACTTTTCTGAGTTGAATTCCATTTGCTGCTGCTTTGCCCATCTGACCAGATCATTGATTTCGACCTGCAGTTTCTGGTTATCCTTTACCACTCTACCAATTTTCATGTTGTCTTATAACCCTGATCATAACCCCTAAGTCCAGATCATCAATGTACACTGCAACCCACAATGGTCCACGCACCTACCTCTGCAAAACCCCACTGGAAACAGATTCCAGTCACAGAAAGATCCCACTATATCACAGAAGTTGCTGGAGAAACTCAGCAGGTCTGCCAGAACTTGTGGAGAGAGAAACAGAATTAACATTTTGAATCTAGTATGACTCTTCTTCAGGTCATTGGACTCACCTCGCATTTATCCGGACTGAATTCCATTGGCCGCTGAGGAGTCCATCTGACCAGCCTGTCTATATCCTATTGTAGGTGAAGGGTATACTCCTCACTATTTACCACTTCACCAATTTTTATATCATCCATGAATTTCCTGATAAATCCTTCTCTATTCAGTCTAAATCATTGAAATAAACCACAAGGTCAGAAATCACACGACACCAGGTTATAGTCCAACAGTTTAATTTGAAAACACAAGCTTTCGGAACCTCAGTCCTTCTTCAAGTGTTAGTGAGAGAGGTAGTATTAGACATAGAACTTATAAGCAAAAGATCAAAGATTCACACCATAGATGAGGATGTACTAAATAAACCTAAGATGCTGTTAAATCTTTAATCAGTTAGAAGGTTTTAATTGATTAATATGTATATGTAAATCTCAGAATTTCTTTCAAGTCACTGTACTGTGAGAACTAAAGGTTGTATCAGTGTAAAGAAGAGGTGACGTTTTAGGTCAGATAATGCATGTTAGATATGAAATAACAGTGTGGAGCTGGAGGAACCCAGCAGGCCAGGCAGCATCAGAGGAGCAGGAAAACTGAAGTTATGGGTCAGGACCCTTCTTCAGAAATGGGGGAGGGGGAAGGGAGCTCAGAAATAAATAGAGAGGAAGGGTGGGGCTGGGGAAGGTAGATGGGATGGTGATAGGTGAGTGCAGGTAGGCAGTGGTGGGGATTGGTCAGTGAGGTGGGAGGAGCAGATAGGTGGGAGAGAAGACGGACAGGTTGTGTCAGGTCAAGGAGGTGGGGATGAGAGGGAGAGGTGGTCTTGGAATGAGGTCGGGGCTGGGGAGATTTTGAAACTAGTAAAGTCCACATTGAGACCATTGGGTTGTAGGCTCCCAAGACGGAATGTGA